AATGTGATGAACTGAACAGTTTTCACACAAGCTATACAGTTAGATGGCAGGCCCCTACTTATAGTAGCTCGACATTGGTCTTCCAAGTAGAACTGGCCTTGTCTTCAAGTGTAGCCACGGAATGCATTGCACCACAGGCGGCTGAGCAACCGGGCATTACTGCATGATTTACGCTGTCAGTATTGATGGGGTTCTGCGACTACCTTGCTGCTTCGTATAAACGACTCAATACACACTATCCGTCCTCCGTATCACCCTTGTCCAGCTCTCCGCCTCGTGCCCTGCCTGAATCGTGTACCCATACCACGCCGAGCTCGCAAGGCTCTCTGATCCACAGCGCCTTAAAGGTATCAAGGCGGACGCCACAAGAGACCCGCCCCATATAGATTTTGTGCTGTCTTACATCCTTGTCGGCTGTATTCCCCAGTGCCTTTCGCCCCCGCCGTGCGTTTTTTCAGCATGCATCGTGAGGCTCGAAGACCACAGCCGTAATCGTGGCTCTATTATGCCGCTGCAGCAAACGAGGGCATCGCGAATGCTAAACATGCCCCCTTCAGTAGCTTAGATATCGAAGCCAGCAGCCTTCCCACCAGCGCCGGACCAAAGGCACCAGACCTTGCGGCTGCATGAGATGTTGCTTGAACCCGGTACGGGGGGCTGCTTAACAGCTCCAAAGCAGTCATCGTGAGCCTGTCTTTGCGTCGTTTGCTCAGGAGAGAGCTTAGGAAGAAATTTCCTCCCTGCCTGCGGGGCTTTACAATGCAGTTCAATGCTTGACAACAAGTATCGCCAACTACGTTAGTCCCGGCGGGTTTGGGAAGCCGAGGAACCTTAGGGACTACGCATAGGGGCTGTGTCAGAGGGAGCAGACTGACGGTCTAATCCGCACACGTATAAACTCCGGTGAAAGAGGCAGGTCAGACACAAGGACTTGAGTCAGGTATCGATATAGTAGAGGAACATTGCCCTAATCGGGATACACGGGAATTGGCACTGATTCATGGCCACCACGGGTCCCAGATTGGTATCTATTCGTATAAATACCCCCTCAATCTCGCACAGATAGATAAAAAACATGCATCATCGTTTCGACTCAATTGTGCCTGCCCTTATCCTTCCGCCCGCGCTCTCAGCTTGCTAAGAGGCTGTCTGTCAAGCATTCGGCTCTGGCTATTCGGCACACAAAACGCGGGTCATAGCATAGTGTGGCTAGTCACAGGCGTACGTAGTCTAGAACTCTAGTTATAGCGCTGGGGCTGTCTATCAAGCATTTAGGTCTGCCTATTAATCATTCAAAATGCGGGCCGTAGTATGGCTAGTTAATAAGGCGTAGTACCGATACCACACCATTACGTACGCGCATTCCCCGCGCCATGCAGGCAGCGGCTTAGGCTGCTTGTGGCGAGCCTGCCCGAAGAGACAGATATGCCCTCGCGGTGGCCTACAAGACGCTTAATAAAGGCAGGCCCAAATGCTCGATAGGCAATCTCCTAGTATACTATTTCCTGTATATTGAGATGGTCTTGCTTGGCTGTATATGTACATTTTGTCAGTGGCAATTATCGTAGTGCGGCGGTGTACTATCCCTTTGAGTGCGCGAAGGCCGGTCAGGGGTCACGAGCCCCACAATACGTAGCTACATGTCAGATACACATTCAGGGGCTAGCAGCATCAGCAAAGCCTTCAACAGTCAATTGTCCTAGTAATGCATTTAAATTAAGCTCTATGGCTTCGCAACAAGATCCACAAGCTTTGCAGACAGCTATTCCAGCTGTGAATAGCTTCGAACATACCCTCTATGCGCGGCTAGACCACTGTCAGCGCGAGCAGCCTATCGACAGCACAGTCCGCCCTACATTCGGAGGCTTACAGCAAAGACGGTAGCTCAAGACAAAGGTTTCGGGCAGGCGACATCTTTACGCCTTTATCACAACACAAACACGTCAAGCATTCAAGAGGGTCTCGCTGCGTTGCTTGTAAAGGCTTTAAGGCTGGGCAGCCTCGATCACAAAGTCAACGCATGCCGTTGGGGGCAGCTAGCGGTAATAAGGTGCCAAAGAAAACAGACCTGGGCTGCAGCGAGTGTAAAGTAGCTATTTGTACAAGCCCGCATTGTTAGGGACTTCTATCATAGCCTAATTTGCTAGTAAATTCAAGTACTGTCTATAGCGCTATGTATCATTGGTTGGTATCCCTGCTCGTGACCCCTGACTGGCCTTCGCGCACTCAAAGGGATAGTTTATAGGGGCGAGGAATCATATACGCACCTACGAATAGTTGTGGGATATCGGTGCTGTGGAGTGGGCCTGTGACTAGCTCACTAGCCACTAGTTAGTATGGCCCGCATTTTGAATGCCGACCATAGCCGGAGCCCCTTGATGTACAGTCTTTTCCCTGAAAGATTGTATGTCAATTTGTATCTTTTTATTAGCAAGCCCAATACAAATGCAACACAGACGCTAACAATCTTTCAGGGATATGACTGTACTCCAAAAAAGGCTGCTAATTAGGGTGCAGATTCTCTTCTATCCCGATCGGGACCTGACCGTTGATAAGGCGAGGCGTGGCACGAGGAAAGAGAGGCGAGGATGCTTGACCAGTTGAGGCAGCACTGCTTACTAACGAAAAGTCTAATGGACCAATTTCTACCCCGCCTACGTAAGGGACTCCTGTTTCAGGTAAGCAACGTAATGCTAATCTCGGATACGAAAATAGTCAATTACTCAAGGACTACGGAGGAAGCTTTCAAAAGTCATGAGCGCGCTAAATTAACCCCTGTACGGACCCCTATAAGGAAAAAGAAAGGGGCAAAGCAGATATAGTACCCCGCACGTTAATTTATGGCGCTTCCCCCTCTTTCTTTTACAATAATCCGCGCAATAACCTACATAAGGAAATGAGGCAAAAAACCGATATCGCGACTCGTGCGTTAATTGTTGTGCTACGAGGCGGCGGTAAGTAGGCAGCTAACGTAGCTACTTTAACTAGCGTGCCTATAAGTACGGTAAAAGGCATTTACTCGCGAGCTCTTTAGCGGGGATTTAAGTCCGATAATTACTTTATTCTTCGAGACGAATTTCTTTAAGATGCCCCTCGATCAGGCCGTCCCTCAAAGCAATAACTACAAAGAAGGGCGCACCGAAGAGCCGGGCTAAAGCTATTCTAGCCTAGGAAGCAGCTTGGAAGGAGCTACCGCAAGAGGAAATACAGTCTTGGATTGAAAGAATCCCCCGTCATATACAGAAAATCATTGAGCTTAAAGGCGGCAACGAGTATCGCGAGGGTCGGAAGGATTAGTAAAAGCGAGGAATAGAGCCATAGTAATTTAGTTGCCCCTTTCTTTTTCCTTACAGGGGTCCGTACAGGGGTTAATTTAGCGCGCTCATGACTTTTGAAAGCTTCCTCCGTATAGGCGGAACAAGCAGAGCCCTGTGGGATGCGGCATGACTGATCAAGATAACACTCCCCCTTGTTGTTCCAAACTAAATGCTGCATGTTACAGGGCACTCCGCAAAGCCCTACTAAAAGGGATTCAGCCGACGACGAAGAAATGAACCAGATAGACGACATGCATGTACCATACAAACGTATTACGTATTATTTGCACAGTCAATCCCCTGTACACCAAGGCCCCTTTGGATTTTATTTTTTTTCTGGGAGGGAGGGGGGAGGCCAATTTAGCAAACTGGGCGACTGATGACTGTGCGATTTGATCAACTGCACACGACATATTCCGGGGGAGGCAGATGCTGGGGAAGCCGGGGAAGAGGGGCCAGGCAAAAGCGAATAGGTCTGTATTATTAGCAACTAGAGGCGACTGAACTTACTCAGCAGTAACTGCATTAGCAGACTAGTTTTAGGGTTTGGCTTCCCTGGTGCCTAGCAGTCTAGCAGAACAGGAAGTCTTATTGCAGCTTCCGAGGGCCCCGTGGTAGGCTATGCTACCTGATCCCCGTAACATTGACGTCCTGTTTTAGCTGGGCCAGCACCCGGGTAACCCTCGCCACACTCCAGTGGCTTTTCCCTCTCCTCCTATGGGCACACACTATCCACAATCTGCTTGAATCGACGTGGACGATCAATGCCCCGCTGTCCCGACCGGACGAGAAGAGCGAGTAATACGGTATATATCTGCCTCGTACGTACCAGGTATTGCAATTGTATTTCGCGGGGCGGCTTGACTCTGTCTTGGTGGAATGCAGCGGGAGGATGCAGGCTTGGCTTTCGCATTGATCATGCTTCCAGACGGGCCCGCAAACGGACTTAGCTTTCAGCGCAACGAGAGCGTCATTGCCGTGTTAGCGAAACGGGCCAGACTATAACCATTCAGCTCTTGTCTGAGGTTTGCTTTGGACATGAATCTGGGATACGTGCCATGGGAGCGCGGGGGCGCCGATTCATCCACCCTAATATGGATAATATATATGTATATAACACGGCTTCCATGTACTTCCAAATGCTTACGCTTTTACTAGCATCAACCATCCTTCTCTTCGTCCTTTGACTCTCCTTGTATTCAATCCCTTACAGCTCGGCGTTTGGGCCAGGCACTCCACGCCATGGAATTTCGAGGCCAACTTCTTCCTCCTCTGGCTCTTGTACTGCTTATTCTGTTTGGCTTAGTTGGCTTTTCAGAAGGTCGGTACCGTGGTCTCGCCGATCCCAGTCCTATTCCATTAAGTGGCGGCTTTGCGTCATACTTGTCAAAGCCTGCTCTCAGCTGGGGACGCCATTATCGGCGACAGGAGGAAACCGAGCAGCTCGTCCAGAAAATATTGGAAGCACAACAAGATGCCAAGAACTGGATAGAACAGGCCAAGTCGGCCACCACGCCTGAGAAGCTTAAACAGGTGAACGAGGAGGCCGAGAAAGCAGCCAAGAAAGCGAGCGATGCGATGAAACAGCTATCAAGTTTAAGCAACGATGCGTCTAAACAACAGGCGTTTGACCAGGGTTGGGACGCGTTTGTCGACGTATTAAATAACAGGACAAATGCCATTATGACCAGTTACGCAACCTTATTCGCCGAATATGGAAAGAGCATCAACGAGGACAAAGCGCAACTTGACGACCTTGTAAACAGGATAACCGATGCCGACACGTACAGAGAGCACATGGATCCCTTTCACGCAACGACTTACAACCTCGGAACCCAGGTTTCGGGTGCTCTTGGGTTTCTTGAGGACAAGCAGCGACTGACCACGCAGGAGCCTGACCCATACCGACGGGATCAAGTGGAGAAGGAAGAAGACGCAGAGGGCCGTGCACTGGTCGCTTTGCAGGAAGGACAGGCTGTGGTCGCACAAGTATACGGGGGTATCAAGTTGCAGGTGGATACTTTTGTTGGGGGTATGCTTGACAACTTCATCGTCATCAACAAAATCAGATCCAAAGTGCGCGGTTACATCGATGCAGAAGACGAAGACGGCAGCGGCATGCAAAACGCCGATCAGGAAGCCGACGGCATATTGGTTGCCATCCAGGACGCGCTGTGGGAGCTGTCACCCGCAGCACCTTTTAAAGACTGGTACAATAAGATTACAAGCGACGAGGAAGTGGGTGTATGGGGATGGTTGGGCGTCACCTTTGAAATTGGACTCGAGGTCCTCGCGTGGGTGCCCACGCCGGCTGCCCCTGCTGCCCGGATATTCAAGATCGGGCGAACGGCATACAAGGTGATGAAGTTGCTGAAAAAGGCCCAAAGAATCATCACAAGATCAAAAAAGCTCTGCAAAAGCGTCAAGGCTATCGGACAGCTTGAAACGGCCGTTGCAACTCTCCAGTCGCTACTACAGAAATTCACCATGGGTTTGAATCTAGCCGGATTCATTGACGAACAGGAGTCGAAGCCGAGAGAACCAACCGAAGCCGAGAAGAAGACGCTACTGGAGCTTAACCAGCTCGCCAATCTGGTAAAGGTGCCCAAGAGGGGGAGACTAAACGACGACGAGATCAAACAAGTGCTCAGTACCCTCCAGGAGAAGCTGAAGGAGGGTGACGTCGTCAAAGACGCCATGAAAGCCACCATCTGCAAGAGATACGACCTGAAACTGTTGTCCTTGGTCGGTGGAGGAGGAGGGAGGCTATGTGGTCCCGGACGGACGACCCCCAGTTCTAGTCCCAACAAGAAGCCCGCACTTCCGAACAAGAATCCCACAAGCCCAGAGAAGAAGAAGACCAGCCCCAAAATAGACGAGAAGAAGAAGACCAGCCCCAAAATGGACGAGAAGAAGAAACAGGATGCGGGGAGGTGGTTATTGACCGGCACCTCAAAGCGAGCAGATGAGAAGCAACAGCTGGTCGACGATGTACTGGCCCTATCCAAGAGGTCCACAGATAACCAGGGCGAGATGGACTTGGATCGTACCATCAGCATCCTTGACCGAGCCGCCCAAGATCTCACCAAGTTGGACAAGGGTGATGGGCCTGGCAAACGCGACGAAGACGACGACGTGGATGGACTCTCGTTTTTGGACAACGAGGAGCTTCTGCAGGGGTTTGCCGCCCTCTTTAAGCCGAGCTTCAACTACGATCCGGAAGACGAGATAGACGATGCGAGCAATCCTGAGTTGAACGAGGTCGATTCGAATGACCCCGCAAAAGATGGTGACCTCCCAAAGGCGAACGAGCCCGAGAAGGCGGAAGAGCCCGAGAAGACCGGGCCGCCCTCTTGGTTTGGGGGATCCCCAGAGGCCTGGACGAACTATATTGATCCGAGTGATGTTGATTGCGATCCCTCAGGTAGAGACCCGTCAGATTGTGACGACTGGAAGTTGGATCCAAAGGAGTTGAAAACTTGGGGGGAGTTGGGTTGGACCAAGAATAAGCCGCCGAAATGATACAAAACGGCAGGGTGCATTCGTAATAAGATCGATTATAAGCGGCTAGAAAATATATATTGTCACGCGCAGCAGGTTTTACATGAGGAATGCGACCGCAATAGTAGGCCGGGGTCGCGACAAGAGTATCGGGTACAGCTACCTATCTCTTTTGAACAGATGCAATGAGCCTCTACACAAAGACAAGAAAACTAGAGGATCGGCCCTGGTCTTAAGGCGTTACTGACTGGCCCACAGTTGAAAGGACCACTTCAGCAATAGGCATGCATGGACGTTTTAGGAGTCATTACTCACGCACCTTACATGATTTCTGACCTAATCGTAGTGCTTCGTGGCCCTCTTCAAAAGACGGGCTCAGCCTCAGTCGTTGCCTCCTCTCCAGGCTTGCTCAGTTCCCGCTTTCCCGGTTCCAACATATCGACAGTATAATAAATAGGGTTCTACGTCTCCTAAGTTCTCTTCCAGTTCCACTTTGTCTGCGTGAAGCCCTCGACCGCCAGAATCTTAATATCTAAAGACGACGAGAAAGTCGACGATGAAAAGGAGCTGCAGATGGAGCCTACCCGAGGGTTAGTTTGTTAATGAACAACTAGTAGCCCGTGAACCAAATGGGACACTACTTACGGGAGTGATACACCCAACTCTGCGATCCGAGGGCAACCCCGGATCGTGCTTGCTCGGTCTCCGCCCTAATTCATTTGTCACAGAGGCCACAGGATCGCCGTGAGCCACACATTTCTAGTCAGCGGGTTATGAGTTGCGTCTTCAAGATGTTGGACTTGGGCCGCGGTGGCCTGGTTGCGCACGATAGGCTCCATTGCAGCAGTGGCAGCGGAGTCGACCCGAGTTTCTTGATTGCTCGAGTGTCGAAGAAGTCTATGAGAACAGCGTGTGAAGGCTGTGGAGTTGATATGCCAAAGTGGTCAGGATGTGATGAAAAGGGAGAAGCCTAACAGTGAGGATGGCCTGAACTGCAATTCATTCCCTAAAACTGGCCGGAGAGGGGACTTTTATCAATCAGGTGTATCCCACCTTTCATATGGGCAAATGACTTGGTGGCGGTGTACCACTGCCATTAAACAACAAGCTGCAACCATTTTGCGACCACTCTAGACAGCGTCACAAATCATGAAAAGGCTCGTTCGGCCGACAACAGAGTAGATATCGCTCATTTTAGCACCCAGTCCCTCCCAGCGCTGGCAATACCTGACTGTGGCTTACCCGTTGAACAGAACGGCATCTCATAACACGCACTGGGAGGACCAGATCGAGGGCTTCCGCAAGAACCGACGCGTTCTCGTCGCCCGTAATATTACCTTCAAGGCCACTCAGGCCGCATTCGAGACCGACGTCCGGGCTGATCTCACCAAGCCCGACTGTCGAGGAGACTTCTGTCGTGAAAACGGGTTAACGATCTAGGTCCGGAGGTTACCTAGTCGGGCTGACTCTAGCAAAGGTGACTGAGAAGGATGAATAATGTTGTTGTTAAGCGGTGGTATCGAACCTTCTAGATGACAACGTCATCTAGGCGGCCTGGGTGGCGACATCGCCACCACAAGGCAGCCACAGGTGACAGAACTATAAGAAGTCACTTTTTGTTAGGGAGGAAGAAGAATCTAAGGACAAGAAACATAATCTATTCATCACTTGCACCCTCTCTTCGCGAGAGTAAGCCACTTTGTTGCCCACTCTTCAACCTCTTGTTCCGACATCTGGGCCAGCTCGAGATTAGTCTTCTCTTCTTCAACTGAGACGAAGAAGGGGTCTAAATCTTGAATGATGCCCGCCCGCAGCCACGAACGTAATACCTGGCACATGCCAATCGTCTGCGCCTCGAGTCGATTCTTGAGAGGGGTGACCATTCTGCCTGCTGCGGAAAAAAGGCGCTCGCATTCGGCGGACATTGGCTATATGGTCAGGAAGTCGAGTGCCATTCGCGACAGATTTAGATACTTAAGTCGCTTGTTATCCCAGTATGAAATGGGATCGTCAACTGAGCCGTCGCTAGCTCCACAGTGCGTTGTCCAATGCAGGTATTCATCCTGGCCGGGCGCGAGTCCATCTCGGTCTGCAGCTGGAGCCGCATAGCGGTTTCGTTCTAGAAATTCTTAGAATGGATTGCTAGAAAGTCTTCGCCGTTTTACCACGGGTTCTATCCCCGGCGCTACTTCTTCCGGAAGAGTAACCTCTCGATACTTAGCACGCCAGACATCGTGCACGATCCTCTGCGCCTCGTTAATCCAGTCTGGCCGATGACCCCAGTTGCGTTCGAACTATTTCCATCGGTACGCTAGATGAAGGGCCAAACTGGTGTAGTAGATAGGAGTGTCGCCTAATGTGCTATAGTAGTTATTTAACTTCTGCCAACTAAGATTGATGTTGATCCTGAGATGTTCGGGATCGGGAAAATTATCTGCCGCGTCTTTATAGTGTTTAAGTTGTCCGAGGAGGAACTTAAAGCCTTAAACGATATCCTATACGTTGCCATATGATCCTATCTATCCGCGCTTCCGCTTTCGAATTTAACTATTATTCTAATCGTGGCTTCGTAAAAAGTGAGAATTTGGTCGAATATCTCAATTACCTCCTAATCCTTATTGGTAAGTGTTGAGGAGAGAGAGTGGGCATAAGAGGCCACAGTCATGCTCAGTGGACCCAATAGTCATGCACAAGGAAGCTGTTGGAGGACTCCAGTGGGATCTGGAAGGTTCCATGGATATGGCGACTCCGTCGCCTGAGTCTATATAGACTCGGATCATCATCACATCTGTAGCTAGATAGACAAGCATCAATAGATTGCTCACTCATCCTTTCCAATCCGCAGGTGCGGACAACAGGTTATGACCCCTCGCGCTTCTACTTACTCAACTTAGGCTCCGAACAAGGTGTATCGGAGCCAACTCCAGTTCACGGCAAGACATCGCCTGAACAACTTGCACTCCAACTGAGGCAAACTATCTGGATTATCTTCAGCCAAAATGACTGAAGCCTCTCTTCAACTTCCCAAAATTCCCATTCTCAAGGGAGAGTCAAATCTTGAAGAATGGAAGGATATGCTCATTCAGACCCTGGAGGTCCAGGATCTGGAAGATTACATCCTCGCAGAAGTCCCGGAGCCCGTGGACCAAGCAGAACGAGGAAAATGGAAGCGTGACCGAGCAAAGGTCATGCTGATCATCAAAGGTTCTATTTCACCAGTTCAGACGACCCTCGAAGCGGCCGGGTGGAGCCGATTCACAGAGAAGGATCCAAAGGTTCTTTATGAACTCATTCAACGAGCAATTCCGAAGGTTTCCGCAGATGCGACCGGAGACCTCGTAGCCGAGTTTGGCAGCATAAGCCGCAAGACTTTCGACAGCTTGATGGCTTACCAAACCCGCATTCAGTACCTAAAGCGACGCACAAAAGAATTGAACTGCGGCTTTGACGACAAAGCATGCCTGTGGTTCACCATCAGAGGACTTCGCGAAGTGTATCCCCAGTGGTATACCTTCCTTGAACGAGACATGAACAAAGGCTCTCTGACGTGGGAGAATCTCATGACAGAGATGTACGCTGAAGCCAACAAGGAAAAGACAGCTATGGCGCTCTCAACACTATCCACGAACAGCAACGAAGCATCCGCTACTCAACGCACCTCAGGTCCCTCCGCTCAATCTCGAAAACCCCAGTCTGAGCAGACTAGAAGATTCTGCCCGACTTGCAACAGATCGCACTGGGTTGATTACCTATGTGTTCCTTCTGCAGAAGACATCACCAAGGCGGAGACGCGGAGTGTTTTGCAAAGCACCCGGAAAAACTCGAAGAATTCCGTCGCCGGAGAAACAGGCAGACGAACGTCGAGCCTGCCCGAGAAGAAGTTTCAATCAATCAGAATGCTTCTCAAGCAGCATTTACTTTCAACAGCGGCCTCATCGGAATGTCGATCACGCCTGAGGCGGCTCAGCCAACCAAACCAAGCCGAGCTGTTCAGCATGCCCTCAAGAGTCAGACGCTTACCCGTGACAGCATCATTGATGACTCGGGAGCAAGCAATCACACCTTTAACGACCTAAAATGGTTTAAGGATATTAAGGAATTGCCACAGGAACTCTCGTTCACGTCAGCCAACGGGGATCTAGTAGCCAAGGCGATAGGCACAGCTTACATACGGGCCAAACGGTCAGACGGACTGGTGACCGAGATGAATCTCGGCCGCTCAGTCTATTGTCCCACCGCGCCAATCAATCTTCTTAGCTCAGGTCAGCTGAGAGCTGATGGAGCGATTCGCGACGGCTTCAAAGACTGCATCATCCACAAGGACTCCAAGACGGAGATGGCCATGATCGATTGGATCAACAATGTGGCAGTCATCCGATCGGAAACGCCGACGACTCGACAACAAAACCAGGGCAACATGCTCCTGGCAGTATCTTATCAAGTCATGCACGAGCGATTGATGCATGCATCGCCAGAAATCGTTCTCAAGGCCTGTGAACAGGCAGGGATCAAAATCTCAAACAGGGAAGCAAAGGAACACCATTGCAGGACATGCCACCTCGCAAAGTCTGCCCTAATCGTCAGTCGTACGCCGCCTGTGCGACCAGCCCGACCGCTGAGTCTCGTTCGGATCGACCTCATCGAGAACAAGCCACTAGGTCATCGCCAATTTCGCTATACATGGCACGCAGTAGATGCCCATTGTGGATACCATTGGGTTCGATTTCTTCGACACAAAGACGAGCTCTTTCAAGCTACGAAAGATTTTGATGCTTACATTCAACGAACAACTGGATATCAGGTCCAAGAATATGGCATGGACAATGATGTGTCTTTCAACTGGACAACAGAGTTGATACCCTGGGCCCGGGCAAACGGAATCAGTCTCAAACCGACCGTGCCTGGTACACCCAGACAGAATGGATTGACAGAGAGGGCTGGATCGAAGATCACACAGCTCGCTCGATGCATCATGATTCACTCCAAGCTTCCGGAATTCTTGTGGCCCTATGCTCAAGAAT